GGTCTGTGAGCGTGGCTGTCCGAACCTGCCTCACACTTACATAAATCTGCAGGCCTGGCTGCCTGTCTGTCTGAAAAGACTAAGTCAGGTTTTAGGGTTGTCTGCGAGCACACAGGCCCTCTCTGAGCCTGCCTGTGCGGAGCGGCCGCGTGATCCCTTTGTGTTTCCAATTAATTACTATTGTACCCAAATCTGACATTAGAGATAAAAATACACCGTAATAATATAAGAAAACACTGGCCGAGTATCTATTGAGGGGAGGGGCCCCCCCGTTTAATATCAGGGGGATAGGATTAAAGAGATTCTGGATTATTCATTCCCAAATAGTGGACTCACGTGGCCTTCCTACGTTTAGAGCAAAAAGAATTTGGTTCATTTGTGCCTGAGGTGCCCCCGGCTGTCCGCGGCGCCTGCTGGGGTGTCTTATGGTGGAAATCTGTCTTCAAGTCATGCGCTTTCAAGCCAGAGTCCCATGAATATCGACCTCCCAAAACAATGCTCCCGCCACGTGCTGTGCACGGTTTTTCCTCCGACTTGTATTTCGGCCTCCAAAAATGTGCTCCTTCTTTGCTTTGAGGGGCAGATCGTCTCGGGGTAGAATCTTGCCATACACCTTACCCAAAGTCAGTCGTGACAGTGCTGTGCCACACACACAAATAGTCCTAAGTCCTAAGACTCCTTCATGCAAGTGTTGGTGGGTTTCCCTTCTCCCGCTTCCACCCGCATTTTGCAAGTCCAGCTTGCTCCAGCAAATGAGGTAGTATGTATGGTAGTACCGCTTCCTTCACAGCTGACTCGCCGCAACAAACATCGAGACAGGAGAAGTCAAGGATGAGTTGAGGGCAAGTCTCACGTAACTCATGCATGCACCTCCACCCGTTGTAGAACATCTTCTACCGTAATGCGAACGTCGCTGACGGAATCCTGAGCTGCCGAAACTAATGAGTCTTGTCAAGCGTTACACTTGTCAATCTTTCGAGGCCTTTGACTTTCTGAGCATCTCGGTCAGCTGGTCTTCCAAGGTCTGCATACTCGCCGAGATCGTCGCTTCTGAAGCCTCTACCTCGGATCTGGGCAGATTCTGCCGGCCGGCCATCGCACAACACGGCGACGTGCCTTGCGGGTCAAGTCCTTCGTGCTTTCAGAGAGCTGCGCCTGGTTCACCTGGCGAACTCACTTTGAGCTCTGCCGAAGAGCTCATGCACTTTTTACATCTAAAGCTTGCCGTATCGAGCTGCGCCTGCTGCTACAACGACTTCTGGACATGACCGCTTCTGAATGCATGGCAACACAGCCAACGCCTTCTGCTGCTCCAGTTCCTGAACGAATCATCAGATCGGCATCAACCTTCTACCTTGTCCATGCATGCCTGCTGCAGGGCTTTGAGCCTCTCGCTGTCCTCGCAGGAATGAAGAGCAAGTGCGGTACAGCAAAAGAGGTGCATGAACTCACGGTCCTACACTTGTTGTTTTGCCCTGCCTTGCCAGATTGGGAGTTGATATCCGACAGCTGCTGGCGCATGCTGGAAGTAGCGGCCTCCCGCGCCTGCATGGTACGCAGGTCTTGCCCCGGTTTGCCTCGCCTCATACACACTTTGCTCTCACGGGTCCTGTGCCAGCAGCGTCTGCAGGTCCTGCGACCAGTCGCGAGTAGCTGCTTAGCTGTACCACTCCTCGTCAATTTCGGCCTCTTTTTGGGGCGCGTCAGCCTCTTGCACAGCAGTCGAAAGGCGGGACATTGGCGCAGCGGATTAAATCGGCCTCCAGGCGGTCCAGGCGGGAGGAGAGGGTGTCGACCAGCTGCGTGAGATCTCGGTTGGAGCCTTCGAGGCCCTGGTGCAGTACTTGGACCTCGCATGCGTCAGAAGCACCCTCCCCACAGATCCGCCCCCATGCTGCCACGCCCGCCCCTGCCCGGCCTTGTCGATGCTCGAGAGCATCTTCTGCAGAGCTTCGGAGGTGCGGCCTTCAGAAGCCTCCAGACGCGGCCAGCCGCTGAGCCGCTGGACAAGGACTGAGTGAAGCCCTGCGCCTCGAACCTCTCCGTCAGTGCGTGTACCTTTGGCAAATCACCTCAGAATGATTTAGAATATCCTGCGGTGTCGGAGCGAAGTTCGCAGAAACAGTCCAAGAAGGCGACTGGCAAGCTGTGCCGTCTCTGCAGCGGAGCTGTCGGAGAGATCCTGAGGCACTGAGGCTCATCACTGCTTCACAGGAAACTACAGCAGTTCTGTGTCCTGCTCCTTAATGGTCTGCAGCTCAACGGCAGACCTCGCTTTCCATCAGCACGCAAAGGCACTGTGCTGTGCTGAACAATTCTGGGCACCTCACTCGGCGATCTCAAGCCGCCTGAATGAAGCACTCCTACAGCTCGTGAACTAATGCAGGTCTTGAAAGCTCGAACGACATGGAAGTCAGGGGTTGAGTGCACGGAGGTTGCACGGACGAACGCGACTCGCACGAGGAAGCGAAGAGTCTTCGAGGAGACGATGCAGCAAAAGGATCCCCGTGTTTATCCCGGAACACAGTGTGAACAGGACGAACTTAGGGACCTGGACATCTTGTTCAAATCCTCGGTGATCTTGGCTACACGGTCCTGTCAGGAAAGATGCCATAGATGCCGACAGCAGCCTTGGTAAGTTAGCTACTGTACTCTACCAGTACCACTGCTGACGGCTGCCTGGCTGGCATGTCTAACGATGCTGTCCTGCTCCACGACCAAGTCAAAGCGCAAAGACTGCATGCTGCTTCCGCCTGGCGACTTTGACCACAGAGCGGTAGTAGCTATCAAACATGGTCAATGAAGGACTTAGTCACAGGCTGGTTTCTGCTAGCTTGAGAGCTTTGGAGACTCGTGCGGATAGCTCTTCGAGCTGCACCGCCGCCTGAGTCCATGTGGGAGCTCGTCAAAAAGGAACAAACACGAGATGCTCGTTGTGGGACACAGCAATTTGCTCTGCTCTGCGGCAGCCTCACTGCTTGAACCTCGCAGACATGAAAGTAGCCATGGACACAGCGACTGCAGGCATTTGCCGGCAAGGAGCTTGCAGGAAGATCCTGGAACTTCAAGCGATGCTCCATCTGCTCTTCAAGAAGTTTGACAGAAGACTCCACCGAGTCGATCCGACTTGCAGCCTGCGGCATCATGCCCGTCATTAAAACTGACACCTCGACCTTCCCTGTGTTCAAGAGAGGCGCAAGCCGGACTACGGTGGCCTAATTTTGAAGTTTCGTGTTTCTCCCCTAGCAGCCTATGGCCCTGTGAAATTCAAGCTTGTCGATGGTGAACAAACGGATGACCATGAGAAAATTGCGAATCTATGATTCCGCCCGAACTGTCAGGGTTTCAATGAGCCATGCTTACGAACCACCTCCAGCAGCACTGTTTCGCTCCCAGGAGCTGCAATCGCAAACGGTCGCTGCACAACTGCTTCCTGATCGTCGTCGGCAGTGGGACGTGGGGCATTCCTTCTCCCGTGTCTTGGCTTTGTCCGAGTGGCCACTTCCACGATGCGAACCACGGCCTGCCCCAGCTCTTCAGACAAGGCCTCCACGAGGAAAACACCAGTACGCACCAGTCGGTGAAGGTCAGCCGGCTGGTCTTAGACTGTGCCTCGAGACTGGCTTTTGTCGCAAAGCTCTCACTCCCGGGCGAGGTCGTCGGAATCTCGGCTTGTGCAAACGACGTCCCATCATGCCAGGTCTGAGGCTGCCGCTGGAACTGCGCTGTGTTCTGCCTGCCGTCCACCAATGTGCAGATCTTGCACGACTGACTACATCTCGCTCCCTCGCTCGGTCTTTTGCTCTCTCGCGGCGATGGTGGTGCAGAAAGTTGCTTTTGCTGTATGCAAGTTGGAATCTGCAAAAATCGCCTATGCCTCGCAGAACAGCTTGAGCTTAGTTGTGAACATGGTACAGCAGTGCAGCACACACGCCATGATATCCTGCCGTTCACAGTGCACACTGCGGCAATGATAAGGCCAGCCAATCTTCGGAGTTGTTGTCCCACGTTGCAAAGCAAGCATCTAGGCAATCTCGCTGACACCCTGAGTTCAAAACGATGCATCCAGGAGAGCAGCTGACCAATGGTAAGTGCAAGAGCGTTTGTGATTCGTGGACAAACATCATCTAGAATCTGGAGTCGTCAAATCCTGCCCACTTCAGAGCCTAATCGCGTCGCTTGCATCCGACATGCCCGGGTAGTTTGTTGGATCTTTCTGCCTCGGACTCCAGGCAGTTGCTTTGCACCATAGCCTGCAGAGCAAAATGAGACGCAGCTCCCCACTTGCAATGCTGTCTTCGGAAGTCCCAGACATTGTTCCGAGCTCATCGTATTGACTTTGATTCCTCGCTTGACAGACCTCTGTCAAGCGAGGATTGACTGCTTTAAGGGATGAACGTTGCATCCTAACATGGCTTCGCGGGCCCCATGGTATCAAATGGCAAGTCTCGAGAGCTGGGAACAAAGGGCACTGTCCATCCCAACTGTGCACCGGATTTGCTCAGGCTCAGCGAGGCTGTCGCTGCAGTCTTCCGCTACCCATACGCAAATACCTGTGTGACTCAGCTGGAGCTTGGCCATACACTTATGTTTCCTACGGCAGGTACGTCAGGATGTGCCCGATTTCCTGTGCGCCAGCGGCTCGCTTAAACCTGCAATCTTTTGGCTCGCGCCACTCGCTAAATGCTCCGTTGCATATCGTGGCACCGGAGAACACGCATGGGGCGACGAAAATACAACACAATTTGTGCCGTTTCCTCGCTGGGACTCCTCTGCGAGCCGCATACCAGGGCTGGCTCGCACAAGAGACACAGACTACAACTTGAGCCCGCCAGATCACAGAAGCTCTCAGATCAAGGTCGTCACAAGACGCGAATTTCAAGACGGAGAGAGCGAGAAAGCCGAGAGAAGATCGGATCTCACAATGCGCATCCTTGCAAGTGCTTTGCCTGGAGCTGCTCCAGCTGGTGCTCCAAACTTAATGTGCCTCGTGAAACCACCATGCGCTGTTTGTGAAGAACTCGTGACTCCAAGCTATTCCAAGCCAAGCGCGGGTTTCATTGGTGGCTGTTCTCTGAGAGAGACGTCGGAGGGGCCTTCTACACCCATGGCTCGAAGGATCTGGGCTCTGCCTGCACTACCTCGCGACATGCTAAGGCCAAAGCTCGGAGATTTCTTTCACAGCTAGTTCCAGACGGTGAAGCTCCGTGCGATCAGCCTCGCAAGACATGTGCCGAGCTCTGCCATGACAGGAGAACCTCGTTTTTCGGCAGAGATGGCGTTTGTAATGTATTTCCATCTCTGCGGCATCCGATCTGGAACACTGGAATCTGTTTGGCTTCACTTTTCGAGGAAGGAGTATTCAGCCCTCCCACCACTACAATAAGCACAAGTACTTGCAGTAGTATCAATAGCAGTCGTCGTCGTCGTCGTAGTAGTCGTAGTCGCTGAGGTGGTAGTGGTAGTAGTAGAGTCGTCGTCGTCGTCGTCGTAGTAGTAGTAGTAGTAGGAGTAGGAGTAGGAGTAGGAGTAGGAGTAGGAGTAGGAGTAGGAGTAGGAGCAGCAGCAGCAGCGGCAGCAGCAGCCGCAGCCGCCGCGGCTTTCGGCAAAAACCTCGAATGTTGGTGGGGGTAAGCTTGTTCGGGGGATGATCACGACACTGTTAGACGGACCCCCCGAACAATATCTCCACACCTAGCGTGCACAGACCACACAGTACTTCAAAAGCAAACCCTCCAGCTCCTCCCACGTACAGCTGGCATCTTTGTTTTTGACGTTTATAAGATGTTGCGCTTCAGATTTTAGGAGTGCTAAAACCTTCTTGGCAGCACTGCATTTTTCACGGTATTTACAGCGTTTCGTACTATCCGACCACCTGTGCTTTAGCAATTTAATTTCTTCCCTGTCGAGTTTGCAACCTCAACTGCTGTCGCAGTTTTGGGCTTGAGTCTCTGCAACTGCACCGGCTGACAGTTAAGGCAACTGAGCCTCTGCAACTTCTGCAGCTGTCACAGATAGGGAGCCTGAGCCCCTGCATCTTCTGCAGCTGCCGCAGTTAGGGAGCCTAGAAGCTGC